AGTCTATTGCTCTTCAAAATAAGACATTTCATTTTAATTTTTTGCAGCAGCAATGTGCTATGCTGCATTGACTGATCTCAACTTCCTGAGCTTGCAGAATCTTTCAGCTTTCTTGCCCAGAGCAGTGGGGATTCCAGATGCAGAGACTCAACTGCACCTGGCTCTAGCCCACTTACTTTCAGAACGCTTGCTTGTGGTTGGTATCATTAGTCTCATTTTATAGATGATGGGACTAAAGCAGGAAGAGTTTAAGTGACTTTTACTAGTATTTGGAAATCTTAAGATCCAACGTTTATCACTCGTTTACCAGACACTGCCTAACTTTGCCTACGTCATCTGTGTCATGATAAAATCTTGCTTGTAACGCATTTTCTTAATTGCTTTTGTCCAAAATTTTCCTTACTAAGTCATAACAAGATAGAACAGGATAATCACAAACTTTTTGTTTCCTCCCAATCGCAGCCCGAAAATGCAAAATTAGACAGTCTCATCTTCATTTGAACGGCCTTCTTCTGACCCGTTCCCAGGTCACAATTTTGGAAGTGTAGAATCACTGCCAAAATCCTGACTCTCTGAGGCCTTACAACTGCCTTTTATGAATTTTACCTAACATGTATGCAAAATCATGTTGTACATATGTACACAGATGCATCAGATTCAACTTTTATAAATTTACCTTTTTTAAAACATTTTTTTGAGGATTTCACACAATGCCTTCTGATCATATTCACCTCTCCAAACTCTCCAGATCCAGTCCCCATCCACGTCCATCCAACTTGGTGACTTTTTTTTTTAAACTCCTAAGAGCATTTGTGCTGTCCAAATATTCTTGGATGCGTGCTCTTCCACTGGACCATGGCCAAGTTACCAGCAACTACGCCCTTAGAGAAAACAGACTCAGTTTCCCAGCAGCTAACAACAGCCAATAACTTCACACCCTGGGATTTGATCTGACTTGGGCTTGTACAGGGTCTTGTGCATGCTGTCGCAACTGTCATAACCTAGCTGTGTCTGGAAGACACTATTTCCTTGCAGTCACCCACGACCCCTGGCTCTTAGGCCTTTTCTGCCCCCATTCCCACAATGATCCCCAGCCTTGGAAGGTATGCAGTGTGTGTTTATTTAGTTCTGAACATTTGGCAGCCCCCCCTTTTTTTTTGTACCTTGTCCAGCTGTGGGTTTCTGAGTTAAAAAACCATTTACTTCAAACAGAAGCTTCTCTGATGAGGGTTGAGAAATGCACCAATCTATGGACATAACAGTAAGTTATTAGACATTGGTTTAATACTGGTGTCCATTTACAAGAGTAATAGCGGTAGACTATGCACCTCATGGCCTCTCTTATAGTGCTTTATCACCCCTCTTTCCAATTCACGTGAGAGTTGATATTGAAAGCTATACATGTGACTGGGTATACAGTCTGCTAATTTTTAAGGATGACTGGACATTCAATAGCGCTATGTAAAGCCTTCAGAGTGCTTCATTATTCTTGATATTTCTGAAACTGAACCTTTAATTCTGTGTAAGAATTAAGTTTTTTTTTTGTTGTTGTTGTTTTGTTTTGTGTCCCCTCCCAACTCTATCAGGAATTGTGGATATATGCTGGTCAAGATTGCAGAATCCTACAAAGCTGGCATGAGCAGTGGCGTAAACAGAGGCTGCTTATTTGTTCCTGGCAGCCCACACCCGAATAATCACACAGGAACTATATTAATTACAACAATGCTTGGCCTATTAGCAGAGGCTTCTTATTAACTAATTCTTTTTTTTTTTATTTTATTTTATTTTTTTTATTTTCGAGACAGGGTTTCTCTGTAGCTTTTTTGGTTCTTGTCCTGGAACTAGCTCTTCTAGACCAGGCTGGCCTCGAACTCAAAGAGATCTGACTGCCTCTGCCTCTCGAGTGCTGGGATTAAAGGCGTGCGCCACCACCGCCCGGCTTTATTAACTAATTCTTACATCTTAAATTAACCCAGTTATATTAATTTGTGTATTGCCATGAGGCTCTGCCTACTGGTAAGGTTCCAGCGTATCCTTCTTCTTCGGCAGCTACATGGCCACTTCCTGACTCTGCCTTCTTTTTTCCTCTATCTCGTCTTGGAATTCCCAATTTGCTCTATTCTGCCCTGTCATAGGCTCAAGAAGGTTTTTTAATTTATTAACCAATAAAAGCAATACATATACAGAAGGACATCCCACGTTACAGTGGTGGGTTCAGTACAGAATCAAAAGCGTGTGTTGGTTACACAAGGAAAACCGAGACAAAGGGCATGGGGGGGTAATTGCCTTTGGCTTGAAATAGGGATCAATAGTCCTATAAAGACCTATTTTTTTTTTCAGTGTATAAAGACTCCCCGGAACTTGTTCTCTAGTTTTTAAAGAACTGACTATCTAGGTGGTGGGAGATACACCAAAACCTTGGAACTACAAGGATCCATAATGACAGAAACACATCAAAGTGTGAGGAACTAATCCATCACTTCTCATGGTGGATTCAAACATTATTAAATTTTAATGTTAACATCCTAGTCTAGAGCTGTGCAATTAACTAAGGTGGCCACAGGTCACATGTGGCTACTCAACTTAAAATAAATTAAAATTATATAAATTATGAAAGTTAGCCCATCCATCATTCAAGGTACATTTTAAGTGTTCCATGAAAGTATGTATTTGTGTCTTCTCATAGAGAACAAAGATCATTTATTATTTATATCTCATATATTATTTAAAAAAGAAATTTTAAAACTTTAAAGTCATGGGCTTTATTTGTCAGGAGACTTAGGACTGCCTCAGTGGTACTGTCTATTGTAGGCTTCCTTGTTTGTCTCATCTTCATTCATTTTTGATAAATCATATGCTTCAAGAAAAAAACTTCTATTCATTTTCTATATATCCTCTATTTCTTGGAATATGAACTGTCAAAAGTATTCTCTAAAGATCCTCTGGATTTCCTTAGCAACTATGGTGACATGCATCTTTTTATGTTCATCAACTTGATACTTCTGTCTCTTTTGGTTAAGTTAGGCAAGGAATTTTTCAACCTTGTTTATTTTTCAAAGTACCAACTCCTTGTTATATTGATTGTTTATACTATCCTTTCAATCTTCATTCATTATCTTTTCTTCTGTGATGAGTGGATTTAAAAAAGAGGTCCACATACAACATGTTATTTAGTCATAGAGAGGAACTGAGTTCTTGCAGGAAAAGATGAAAGTAGATAGCCTTATGTTAGCAAAATAAGCAAGAAAAATAATGCATATTTTTCCCCATATGTGCTATCTAGATAAGCATGTGTGTACACGCACACATGCATGAACTATTTGGGAAATGAAGGGTACCAGTGGGAGGAAAAAGAGTGAGTGAGAGAAAATGGAAGGCACATATGAGCAAAATGCATGTGCTTGTAAAGTGTCATAAGGAAACTCATCATTTTGTATAAATATACACAAATGAGTAAATAAACAAATGGTAAAGGAATTTGTGGTACATCCCCGTCACTGTAGAATGGTCCACTGAACAGTGCTGACACAGAAGATGAAAGAACACATCAAGAAGCACATTGATGGCCTCATTGGCCAAAGCAGCGAGGACCTGCCTGCTTTATTCTCAGTCACCAGACACCTTAGAATGGAAGGTAAAAGATGGCCTTAGAGTTTGCTATGAATTGTGAAGGTTACTTTTCTCAGTAAGGAAACCATCTGTTAGGAGGTCATCATGGATCAAGTTCACATGCAAGGGAGTAAGAGGATGTGGGTAAGAGCTCCCCAAATGAAAGAGTTCTGATTGACAGATGTTTGGAGGCACTTCTGATAGTTATACAAAAGGTGGGTGTGCTGCCTTATTTTGAATCTTTTGTAAGTACACTTGGCTTTCTCTCACCGACTTTTTATTTGCTGAAGAGGATCTCACTATGTAGCCCTGGCTGGTATGGAACCTGCTATGTAGATCAAGCTGGCCTGTTTCTGCCTCCTGTGTACTTGGACTAAAGGCATGAACCATCACACCCAGTCCTCACCTAAGATTTTGCAAATGCACCTATGCCTTGAGAAATTATGAGGAAATAAAGACTGCTTGGTGTCTTCATCTGTAGAGCTATATGGCAGAACGTGGTAAAGGATCCCTAATGGAAATCGGTAAGCAGGGTGGAACAGGTATGAAAATAAAGAGGTGCCTACATACGGGGTGCTAGATTATGAAAATCACTAAATGCATTATTAGAAAGCCAAGAGAGCTGTCCCCACTAACTGTAAATAGAGCAAGCAGTTTCCACGAACTGATGAGAGAACTGGAGGGAGAGACAGGAAATGAAATACAGGTATTTTCCAGTGAAAATATGCACTGAGTGCAGTTTATTGTTGGTTATTTCCCTCCCCCACTCTGCCCAATATACAAACCCTAAACAGGCATGCGTCATACTTCAATGCACTGTACCTTGGACACACTGCAATTCTTAACAAATGGAAGGTTTGTGGCAAACCTGTGGCAAAAGGGCTATAGAGACCCTTTTCCCAACAGCCCAGATAATTAATAATGCAGCATTTTTTAAAGCTATTTTTCCTCGCTATTTTTAAGTGCATGTTTGTGAGGATGAGACTGTGAGTGTACGTGTGTACATTCACACATGAGTGCAGCTGCCCATGGAGGAATACAATTGCCCTGGAACTGAACTTACAGGCAGTTGTGAACTGCCTGATGTGGATGCTGGGAATTGACTCAGGTCTTCAGCAAGAAGCTCGGTCAATCACAGAGCCATCTCTCCAGCTGCAGACCAAAGTATTTTCAAGTAAAATATGTGCACTGTTTTAATCCTTAGGTGACTGCATGCTCGATAGACTATGAGATAGTCTAGACACAATTCTTACAGGGCTGGATATTTAAAAAAAATAGGGTGACGTGTTTTGTTGCAGTGTCTAGCAATAAATCCTGTTATGTCTCTTAGGTAGGGCTGTACCAAATAAATAATCAATGAATGAATCTTTAGAAAATAAGTTCACACTGAATGCATAAATTCCTTTATTTGAAAATATTGGAATAGCACTGCATTACATGTAGTTGAGATCCATAAGGAAGGATCACACATTCCTGCTCAGACAATACTGTTTTAAATAGAGAATACAGCATCTGGATAGGCTCTCACGAGTATAGCGTCATGGACTAAACTAGGTAAGAGTGACCTATAGGCAAAATGACCATCTTGTTCATTAACAGCATATGGTTACAAATGGCATAAATGGTGAATGTAATCACCACAAGCTATTCCTGGGATCTCACCAACTCATGTGCATGAGTAGACCACGTTCAAATCATGTGTTTTTAACCGAGAGTCCTCAGTGGGAGAACACAGGTGTAAAGTGTCTCTGGTCTACAGATTTAAAATTTTAGAGCATTCGTTTAAACTAGCATGGAATGGCAGTGAGTATAACAACTGATGACCTGGCAGAGACCACTGAACATTCTGTTTTCTTACAGGGAGTCTAAACTGGAAGAAAAATTTAAAGAACATATTTTGAACGTAAACAGATATGTAAACGTGGGGAGCTAATTTTCCTTTCAGTGATCACTGGGGAAATAATTTGTGGTAGACTACTTTCCAGCTTTGGCTATCATTAATTTTTCCCATCAGTAGTCTTTGGCTTTCACAAAAGGGTGGCAATCAACAAGGTTAATGACTTTATCTCTTACTGCTTAAAAGAAAAGATGGTTTACAATGTGAAAATGAGTTTCAACTTTAAAAAATAGATTTTCTTTTTTTCTTTCAGTTGTGATATAAACACAATTCTTTATTGTTTTTTTCTCCAATAGAATTCTAGAAACCAAAAAAATTGGTCCAACTTGATATTTTCATCCAACATCAAAAATGAAGAAATTAAACACTCCCCTTTAAAACAGAGGGCTCCTCATTCATGTAAACACCTGTGAAAAAAACTATATATATAAAAAAACTAAAAAACTAAGTTACTGTTATTAGTACACAATTTCGTAAGAAGCAACACATTCTCTTTTCAGGATTTGTTGTATGTCCACATTCATGAAAATTCCTATTTTGATAGACACCAACTTACAACTACGAGAGATGTCATACTCTATTTCACACAAATGCTTAGGGTGTCAAAGTGTACTTTAAAAACTAAACGAAAAGCTGGTCTATAATATTCAGATCAATGAACATTGGTCATGAACTCTGGAAAGTTCATATATAGAGAGATACATAGTCTTAAGACATTAAGACTATCTCACCCTAAATAATCAGGGCAAAAAAAAAATGAGTATCAAACTATACAAATCAAAGGAGACTTGTTTCCCAAATATAAGCACAAAAGGTACATATTCCTTTATTTCAGTATTTGACACATTGAGAAGAAAAAAATTCCAACATATTTCAGACAATATACTAGAAATAATAAATAAAATAGTTAAAAAAATCAGATGTTCCCTTTAAGTGCCGTGCCCTTTCAATTTTTCTAAATCAGATTCAGCTTTCCATAGCAAACAGTAACTATACATTTGGTAAATTATGTTGATAAATACACAAGGCAGGTATATATTTCCACAGTATCTTTTTTTTTCACAGTTACCAAAAATAAAAATTGCATTCAACTCATACTCCTCTAGACACTCTGATTTCTCATGGTGTGGATCCGAAAGCAGTGGATGTACAAAGTCTTTTCCCATCTGGACCTCAGGTTTCTTTCCTCAGCATCTGCCCTCCGCAGGTACCTGTCAGAATCTTTCTGCATTGTTATCATGCTCTGAGACGGTGGCAGAAAGAAAGCGTTGCTGTGGGATGCGGCAGCCGGGGCTGGGGCTCATCTTCCAGTAATAGGGCTAATCTAGCCCAGTCTTTTTAATATTATATTTTAAGGCAGCCTACACTTCACTCAAATGTCCATACCTCTAGGTCCTGAACTATGAAGTCTTCTTTTTTGGAGAGAATATCATTATTAAAAGTGCTGCAAGAGTTGCTGCGTCCGTGGTATAAGTCGGCATCTAGCCACAGACCAAAGCGTCCCCTGTAACGAGGTTAAAGAGGAAAGTCACTACACTGACACCCCGAACCCGGCATCTTTCTGTCTTCCTTTGCCAGGTGTCCCTTCCTTTAGGCCATGACAGGCAGAACTCTAAACGTCTCACCAAACAAAAGCAAGCTGAATAGACAGGCCTCTCCAAAATGACAAATAGTATAAGTCTCCCTGCCACATTAATAAATCATTGGTCTTGATCCTCAGGGGCCTGTGTTAGTGCACAGTCCTAATTCATCTAAGCAAACAAACTGGCTGGGTCAAAACAGAGCCTCCCACAGCAAAATAACAAGAATCTTACCCTCCACCACCAAGCTCTAAAGAACTTATGTCTCCGTTGATGAAATATGAATTTTCTCCACTCCACTTAAAGACCTAGGGGCAGAAACACAAAAGAGCAACAGACATTTCAATATGGAGAATTAGCAGAGACGACATCTTGAATAGTCATACTGCATACAGGGAAACACATCTTCGACTACGGAAGCACTTGGCAGAATAGCCACAGTGAGGTCACCAATGATTACGAAATACTAAAGACCAGTCCACAGTATGTTTGGCTGTGACCTTCAGCCTCTTCCTGCATCTCAGACTGAGACAGTCCTAACGCTGGGTCCCTGAGCAGGCTGCGAGCCACAGGCATGAAGAACAAGACCCAGAGTAAAGGGTGCAGGTGAGTTTGCAGGGCAGCTGCTACCCCAGTGTCTGGGCACCCCACCCGCGCTATCCCAGTGTCTGGGCACCCCACCCGCGCTATCCCAGTGTCTGGGCACCCCAGCCGCGCTATCCCAGTGTCTGGGCACCCCACCCGCGCTATCCCAGTGTCTGGGCACCCCATCTGCCCTGACTGCTGACAACAAACACGGGCCATTCATGGATGCCACCCATCCAGCTACCTTGAAATTAGGACTGAAGGTGTAGAGAAACGTCTCGCCTGTGCCGTAATAGTGGTCACTGAACTTGAAGGGATGAGTTGCATATGCCCCAAATATCTATTGAAAAGAAACAGAAGAGTTAGTTATTTCCAAAACTAAATTCCCATAGAGAGACTTTCTGAAATATTTTTGACACACTATTGTTCTTAGATCTTATAACACATTCAGCAAAGGTTATTACTAAATTAGAACTCTTAAGTGGGGAGGGAAAAGCACCAAACAAAGCAATTAGCACAATATCCCCAGCTCTAACTGGAACCCATGTGGTCAGGCTTCCTGGTACATGGAAAATCCATCAAAGAAGCTCAGAAAAGTTTTCATTCGTTAAAGGCCAACAATTCAGTGGCTAAAAGGCCACAGAAGCCAAATATGAAGAACAACCTAAAGATGTGTGTTTTACATGGAAATGAGTGCTTGACAGGACACAGTCACATCTCTAGAATGACTTAGCTTGCTTTGTATTGCTTTTGTTTCTTGAGACAGGGCCTGATACTACAGGATAGGCTAGCTTGGTACTAACTCGCTGCGGTAGCTAGGTTGGCCACTAGCATTTCCTCGCTTTAGCATCTTGGATTTATAGGCGTGAGTCATCATGTCTGGCTTTCTTATGTGTTTTATGTGTGAGATCAAGGCTGGACATTTCCCCAAAGAAAATTAACTTTGCGCCCATTCAGTTTGCAATGATGAGTGATAAAAGTACTTAAATATGACAGATTAATATGCTTAGTCTGAAGTGACTTCTAATAAAAAAACAAAACGAAAACACATCTTGACTTTAAATATGATGTGTTTGCATCAATAATTCTTCTATTTCTTATTTGAAGTACAAGAGTCATGTTACAGAATATGGTCAGGCCCTCCCTCAGCTTTCTGTCCACCTGTTTCCATCCTAATCAGTGTATATGGTTGAGAGTTAGGAGAGGTATATATATATGTGTGTGTGTGTGTGTGTTTGTGTGTTTGTGTGTGTGTATGTGTGTGTGACTCAGTAATTCATGTATCTTCCGCTCCAGAGCCTACTTAAAAAAATATTGCTTTAATAGAGATTTTAAAAAAAAACACATTTTTTTTTTAAAAACAATACTTTAATTGGGTCAAAATCACTGTGTGCCCTCTTCTTTGCTAGTTCTATTTAAAACGCTAAACATTAGCGATTTCTAATTCTAAACAAAGATTGTCATACTTCCTACTCCCGAATTTTCTCAACTTCTAAAAGTGAAAGAAAAATAAAATATATTTTGTAATAAAACATAAACAATTATTTTCTCTTTTTTTACTAAAGGAATTGGAATGCAATAGAGAAGCGCCCATTTTTTCAAGCACGATCCTGAAATATGACAAGAAGGAAACAGGTAGGAAGTGGGCTCCTCTCAGTGGAGTCAATGGCAGATGCTGTCCACACTCTCCGGCCTTCTATAAAATTCTAAACGATATTTCTCAGTGAAAAGTTTTTCAGTGATGATGGAAATCTACTTAATAACCAGGGGCCAAGTAATTCCAGGGCTATGCAATGGGTTTTTTCTCAGAAACTATTTAACAAATATCTATGCTATTCGTTCTATTACTTTATTTAGTAGAAAAAGAACATAAGAATTTGTATATAATTATATTTGTACATAATGAAAATGCAATACATTTAGCAATAACAGAAAAAAGAATCTATACAACTAAAGAATTGGAAATGATAGGGTGAAGGTTAATATAATAAAGATAATAAAGATGTCTCATTGCTCTTTTCTCTTAGCTTTTGTTTTTCTTGTGGTGCTAAGGATTGAACTCAGGGTCTCACACATGCTAGGAAAGGACTCTGCCACTGAACTGCAGTCCCGGCCCTACCACCTGAACCACCTTTATTTTTCCTTTTTATTTTGAGATAGGATTTTTATCTGTCCTAAGAGTAGCTGCGATAGCAAACCTGTAACACAGGTCCGCCTCTCAACTCCATTAGCAGATATAAAATATAAAGCAGTTATCTTGACAGTTTGCTTTGGGTGTGTAATCTACATGGGTAAAATATGGTTAACAACAGTATCATAAATAGTGGGACGGTGAAATACTGCAATATAGACGTGACTTTTTTCTTTTTTTTGCCTTGCCAATGCTGTTAGCATAAGCCACACTCTATTAATTGCTGAAGATCTGCTCTTCTAACAATTCCATGTATCATAAATTCCTGGGTAGTTTGGTTTGACTGACGGTGCCCTCAGTGAGTCTGTGAAGTGATCACCAACTCTAAAAAAAATTCTGCTTAGCTCTTTTCCAGATTCTTTCTGGTAACCTAGAGACACAACGCTGCAGCTTATTGTCTTGTGGAGAACACTCTCAACTGTTTAGAGCCAAATGTAATCACTGCTGGGAATATCCTCGACCTTGAACTTCCTTACTAGTCTAAAGACGCAAGCCAGCTCTGTGGGGCTGGTGTAAGGGCTCTGTGTCCTACGGCCGCCCTTTCCTCCTGGAACAAGTCCCTTAGCCACTGAACCAGAGCTTCGGCTATACATCTGCCTGCTTTCCCAGAAAAACAATTTTGCTCTATTAGCCAAGTGCAGGTCTGGCCTTGGCTTGTCTCAGACAATGTGCATTAAGTGTTGAGCCAAGAACAATGGAGCATCCGGTATTCACAACCTGCCATCTCTCTGACAAAACACCTACTCCAAGGAAAGGCTGGGTGGAGGAAAAGGCCTTCTACCTCTACGCCATACTTATCTGCATTTTCACTTCTGGAACACACTGGGAGGGGTGGATGAATTGCTGAGCACCTGCCCCTGGAAGGGACAGATGATTGGCAGCTAAGAGAAGAGGGAACCCCAACTCCTGTACTACACAGGTCCAGAGTAAAGCTTCAGGCTTGAGCTGGGGTTGCTGGAAAGATGGGAAGTGGGTTGTGTCTCAAGTGCCAAAGAATTTCATTGTTATTACTGAGATTTATTAGATTTTCTTGAATAAACATTTCTTCATTTGCTGCATGCCTTTAGGAGAATTTCCAGAGACTTTAAAGGGTTGTTTTTATGACTCCCACCAGTCAGGGTTCTTTCACGGATTCTGTACAGCTCCGCTCTCTCATTCTGCATGTGTAATATTGGCTTCTAATATCTCTGTCATATTTCTACAAACAGCACAGCCATCTTATTTCCCAGGGTGGAGGAGCTGAAAGAGGTAGAGTTAATGTCCAAGTATCCTCAACTGCTCAAGCATCTCCAGAACCCAAGATATGCATGACTCTACTCCAGTGATACTCAGCTTGTGGGTCATGACCCCCACAGGGGTTACATATCAGATATTTATGATTTACAACAGTACCAAAATCACAATTATGAAATAGCAATAAAATAATTTTACTGTTGGGGTCACCACAACATGAGGAACTGTATTAAAGGATCGCTGCATTAGGAAGGTTGGGAACCACTACTCTACTCCCTGACCAAGGCTAAGCTTCAGCCTCGGGCCTCTGGTAGATCACTGCTGGCGGAGAGCTTGACGAAACTGTGCCTCACTGATACCTTCTTGATGCGACCCTCTTATTCTTCAAGTTTAATACTACTGCTAAAAGACAGGAAACGAATGCATATTTTTGTAGCCGACTTGTGTGTCTAGTCATACTTTATCTGAGACATAGCACCTAATTGTGTGGCCATTCCATAACTTTCTATGTGACTTTCACTGTAAACACTTTGTGGTATTATTTCAACTTTCATAGTACTTCTACCCATTATTCAATAAGATGTTAGCAACCATGATCTAATAATAGTAAAAATAAATATAGTAACAGTTCCTCTCCTTTCCATAATTCTTATTATTGCAATAAAGCCATAAAGTAACCTCACCAGGACATAACCTATTGGGTTTTTTTTTGGGGGGGGGGAAACAGTATCTAACTGTGTTGTCCTGAAATTCACTTTGCAAACCAGGCTGGCCTTGACTTGAACTCACAGTGATTCACTTGCCTCTGCCTCCCAAATTCTAGGATTAGAAGTAGGTCACATGGTTATATATATTTCTCTTAAAAGCATCTCAGTTACAGACCTCATTCAGGGAGGAAAGTTGACAGGATTGAGATGTGCTTTGCAGGTAAGATCCTCCATGAACAATACAGGTTGAGCAACACCAATCTGAAAACTTCCCAAACCCCAAATTTTCTGAGTGCCAACATGATACCATAAATAGAAAAATCTGTACTGAGAACCTGTTTCATGAACAAAATTATGAAAACTCTCTTTGTGTGTCTGTGTTATTATGAAGCAATTGTGATCCCATCTCCTTATACATATGCAAATATTCTATGACTCCCCCAAATCCAAATTTCTAAACAATTTTATCCCAAGAAGCTTGAATGAAGAATATCCAGTTGAGTTGCCTTGTATATAACAGGTGCTGATTAGCCATAACCTGACTAGATGAATCAATTAGTTCATGACTTTGCAATATAGCAGCCTGATTGAGCAGTAAATGAAAGCAGTCTGCAATATTCCATGGGCAATGTAAGCTGACTAGAAGGAACAGGCAATGGTGTAAAACGGATGGGACACTACCTAGCTCGAACAGCTTATCAAAGGGTACCCACCACACAGGTGAGAGTACTATCAGGAAAGGATTTCCCACGGCTGCTGAATCACTGGACCCCAGAACTATTACACAGATGAATGACTAGCCCCCATTCAGGAGGCAGCATCAATGGGCACTACTTAAGACCCATGGGAAAATCTCCGGTATGTCACTGGGATTGTCTTTGCAACTATATACTAGACTGTCCCTAACATCTTTAAATTGCTGTAAGTTTCTGTTTTCTGCTCCATGGACAGTACAGGGATAAGATTCCTTAGAATATAATTACTCCATTTTCTTTATATTAGAATTTCAAACTACATCAACAAAGAAAAGCAAGAAGAGACGGACATAAAGCAAGAATGGCAAAACCCATTTAGCCTGAGCATGGGAGCTGCTATACTAGTTTCTCTACTGTTTCTTTTCATTTTATTTTTCCTGAGACAGGTTTTCTCTATGGTTGTCCTGGAAGACTCTGTAGACCAGGCTAGTTTTAAACCAACAAACATCCTCCTGCCTCTGCTTCCCAAGTTCTAGGATTAAAGGGATGCACGACCACCCAGCCTGCTGGATATTCTTAAAATTTATCACTGAAACACCTTTTCAAGTTGGGACATAGTTCAGTTAGCAGAGTCTGTCTGGCACAAATGTGGCCTTGGACTTGATCCCTAGCACCATATAGCCAGTTGTGGGAGCACATACTAAAAATCTTAGCACTCAAGATATGGAGGGAGGAGAATGACAAGTTCAAAAGCACTGCAGGTTATACAGTCGGAGCTACGTGCAACCCCATTTCCAAAACAACACCCATGTTCTGTGTGAGAGGAACAAGCTTCACCTGGTTATCCATGTCCTTGATGACCAGTAGAACAGGGCTGTCTAGGGATGCTGATTTCCTGTAGAGAGTTTTCAAGCTTGTTCCATGCTCTAATGTTCTGTAGGCCAGTCTCCACGGATAGCCTTGTACCCTGGCTGGAAGGCGTCGGGCCAGCTGCCAATCCAAGGAAGGAAATACAAAGAGACAACCACTAATCAGCCACGAACCAGTGCATTAAATAAGGGCCTGTGGCTCCAACTAAAGAATCCTGTATTTACATCTTGACCTATTTTTGCCCTGGCAAACATTTGCTACCACTAGCTAAGAAAGAGAAGGGAAATCTGGGCAGTGTTTCCCTTGGCCAGGATGCTGCCCAGGAGATGCTGCACTCGCTCAGAGCCTGATTGTGGGCTTCCAATGTCATCATGCAGGCCTGTGTTTCTCGCTGATAAGATACATAAGTGGAGAAACATCTTCTTAGGCAAATTTGGGGTCATTTGAATGTCACAGAAATTTCATACACAAACCAGCCAAGCTACGATGTCACCTGATGATTATGTAGTGGATCACAGAGCAAAGTGTCCCTATTAGTGCATGACTACACATTTGAAGATTCCCACCGATCAAGCTGGCCAGAAGAGTATTCACTAGACATATACTTTCCTCTGTAATTCAACCTGGCCTTTATCATTTTCTATTTTTTCAGTTGTCCTAAGTTTGCATAGGTTTAAAGTTGCTACAATGTCCCATAGATTAAGGAAAAGCACGTGTTTTCCATGAGAGTGCAGAGGGACTTTGTCCACCTTGCTTCGGTATCTTTCATGTTTATCTTTAGCTTAAACTTAGCTGCCATAAATACTAGTAAAAGGTATCTCTCCAAGAAACGTTATCAAAGCAGTTATGAAACACAATGTATTCGAGCGTTGGAAGTCAGCTCCAGTGGCAGCATGAAGCCCACCTCTAGAGCTGCCTGACCAAGTCTCTGGGTTCCCCTGGTTTGAGTCTTTAAGCTTTCAAACATTCAAATTCCTAGCTAACTGGTGAAAAAAGTCAGAGATCCTCATATTCAGCTTAGTAGCACATAATATTTCACAAAATTCAAGCAGCAGACATTTTAAGCACACACAGGTAATTCTAAAGAAAGGAAGATCTTTCCTGAAGGCAGGTGTTCTGTCCATCACAAAGCAAGTACATTCATGTGTTTTATTTTTTTTTTATTAATCCCAATAAATTAAAGCCACATATACTAGCTAGGATAAAGTTGGATCCTTTTTAGGTGCATTAAGACTATATGGGAGATCTCTTCCCTTTTTTTATGTTAAGAATTAGCCTTCTTCTCTTTCCTTCCTTTCTTCCTTTTCTTCCTTCGTTCCTTTCTTTCTTTCAAGACAGGGTTTCTCTTTATCTTTGGTGCCTATACTTGAACTTTCAGAGATCCACCTGCCTCTGCCTCCTGAGTGCTCGGTTAAAAAGCATGCGGGGCAGGGTTAACAGAAATGGTCATCTTTTCAGGTTTGGAAGGAGGATGTCGAGGTCATGTGAGCTCCCCATATTCTCAGGAAGGTCACCGGGAAGGCCACTGGGACTTTTCCTAAGTGGAGAAGGGTTGTTATCTATGCTCTGTCCCTCCACTTGCTCACCTGGCTGTTTCACTGGTGACCATGGGCAAGGGACACTTTTTGAGACCAGGAAGACCGCGGGGCTCAGTCTGCGGAAGACCCACCTGCTCGATGTGCATGTTCTCCAGGAGCGCACTGTGGGGCTGCAGGATAGGCAGTCCCTCTTCTTCCTCCTCCTCCTCCTCGTAGTGGCTGCAAGTGCTCTTCCTCCGTTTCGCCTCTTCAACAGTGATGATCTAAGGTGAGGACAAAAAGAACCCAATGGAGAAGATGAGAGGTGCTTTCTCCCAAACTAGCCCAGCACACAGCTGACTGTAAATATGAGATGCACTTTCTCCAAACTAGCAGGGCACACGGTTGACTTAGACGAGATGGCTTTCCCCTAAACTAGCCCAGCACACAGCTGACTGTAAAGGTGGAGTGTTGGGGAGCAGGAGACAAACAGAAGAGGGCTTTGGGGGAAATGACTAATTTTCAAATGCAGAACAAATGCAGAATTTAAACCACGACAGCTGAGCATTTAGTATGCATGACTTAAAGTCACCAGCCTTTCACTTTTTCTCATGCTGTTGCCTGCTCAGAACCGCGTAACTCCACACACAATTTACAGTCTTGAAAACACTTAGGTCAGGCTCTTTTAGTCTGCGTGTTCACATTTCAGTTGCAAAGGAAATAATCAGAGATCCCTCACCAAGGCTATAAATAGGGAGTTTGGAGCGATAAAGATAAGTTTGTAATCAGGCTTCCGGGTTGTGTACATAGCAACCAAGTCTAATAGAAATAATGAATGACGGCAGCCACCAGAAGCAAACGGGAGACAGGGAGCAGGGGCAGGGGAGGCTTTACTCTAATTACAACTACCTTACGATTTATTCTACACAATTCACAATGATCCAATGTTTCCCTTCTAAATTGAAAGATGCTGTATCACACACATCTCTTATTTAAATACAGTTGGGCTTATGAACTACCAAAGTCCTTACCTTAAAAACACTTGGTCCCTCTTAGTGTCTCAGTACATTACTGCGTGATTCTGAAACATTTAAGAGGTAACTAACTAGTTCTCTAAAATGCCCAGGTACACTAACTAGTAGTGACAGCTGTTATTACAGAGAAAAGACATTTAATTTACATTCTAGTCAGTGTTGTCAAGTAATGCACTGTTTGGCTTTCAAAATGAAGAATGGCATGTACAAATTATTCATCTTTTAGCCAAATTTATCTTCTGATGGCGAGGATATAAAAACACTTTCAAAGAATCACACATCTGACATTTTAAACGTATTAGACAAAGCACTTTGTTTTGTTATTTCCAAACTCTCCAAATTATTAACAGCATACAACAAGGCTGTAGAATGAAGAGAGTCAAGGACGGATTTTGGATTTCAGAAAGAGGGGGCAAAAACCTCCACAGCAAATCAAACAACGTGCTCCGGGTGAGACGCCAGCGCAATACTTTCTAACCAGAAGGATTTCGAGACACACGGCTGTGACAGAGCACCTAGCTGCCCGATGAGGGACACAGTCCCACCTACCTTCACAAAAGGCTCTTGGTCAGGTCTGGCACAATAGAAAATCTGAATGTCCAGGGGCAGTCTTCTGCCTCGCATTGTGCTGGGAGTGAAGACTGAAGCCACCCGAGAGAGGAACAGGTCTTTCGCGGGCTGCCCGCACACCAGCCACTGGCTGCCGGGCTGAGCTACACTGTTTTCTGTATCTAGCTAGCTTCCTGCACGGCTGAGTTTCTGTTTCCCTCAGGAGGGGGTTCGATGTTTCTACAGGAACACACCCAAATTAGGATTTAGAGCAGGCACACTTCCTGTCAGGCAGAGCGGGAGTATGTAAAATGACACTTTCACCTTTGAAACCCTTGTCCCAACAGTACAATAAAACCCCATTGTTCCAGGGGCTTTTTTTCCCTTCCTCTCTTCCTAAACAAACTCTTCATCCTTATGCCCTCAGGGTAGGTAACTAAACCGTGCTCACCCTGTCTCTTCTGGGTTTTCTTTCAGCTCCTTCCTTAAGGCTAAACCTCCATTTTAAACATAGTGTAGGTTCCCAGTATCAGTTTGAATCTTAAAAACAAAAGGAGGCTTTAACCGAGGTAGAGAGACTCACTCCAAGGCATCGGTTTTTTTTTGTTTGTTTTGTTTTGTTTTTTACATTTCTTTTAGCTTTTAGAGTTTGTTGGCATGGGCGACATGAAAGAGTGGGAAAACATCTGATTTACAGGAGGCTGTGAACGATGCCATCTTATGTGCAGTTTGCAAAACAGGTAGCAATGCACAGTTTATCCTTTTACACTGGAGACTGCGTCTTAGTGGCTGATAAACCTACTGGGTCCTCCGATGGCAGGCTGGGAAAGAAATGCAGATCTGCAACAGATCCCCTTGTTGCTAACTCCTCCACACTGTTGGGGACTTTCAGTCCCAGGGTTCTGAGGTAGGTTAGAAATTGCACTCTGGCAGATGAGTGGACATGACCTATCAGCCAGGACCAACCCTCCATGCAGACACATAACAGTCTAGGGCAGAAGCACTTGGATTCTGTGCCCAGGAGAAGCAACTTTTTCGGTGCCTGGCATTTCATGAGAGATCGCATTATTGGGTAATTCCTGGATGCGGCAGGAGTGCCAGCATTTATTCGGTGCTTCCTTGTTCTGGGAAGTGCCAGGTGCTTTGCCAGGCACAGGGACACAAAGCAGCCCATAGTGTCTACAGTTGAGTGATAGAAGATGAAACTGTAAACAAACAAATGCCAGCACATGCAATAAAGAAGCTGAAAGCTCTTGAGGCTCAAAGGAGGCTGGGACACCTGGTTTGTCCTGAGAAGGCTTATTCACAAGGGAGAGGGTGGGTCCATCTGTGAGAAGGGTGGGGTGTGGAGAGATATCCCAGGTGCAGGGTGCAGCAAGAGCACAGACATGGGCTCTAAGTTCATGATGGCTGAAGAACAAACACCAGCTAAAGAAGAGATGAGAGAGGGGGGTAAGATCAGGAAAAGTGAAGAACTGTAATGTCTTGAAGGGATCTTGCCATATAAGAGAGTAGTTCTAAAACCTAGCTGTTTTGCTGATTTATTTTGGTGCTCACATTCTTCCTATAGGCTTACTAAAACAAAGGATCCAGAGGTAAAGGTCTAGGAGTCAACCTTTTAAGAATCTAGAGGGCTGCAGATGTGGCTTTGTGTATAATGTGCTTCCTGTGCAAACACTGAGACATGAATCCGGATCACAAGGCTTGGAAAGAAGGCCTGCTACTGCAGCACTCTGGAGGGTGGAAACAGGAGGGCTGCAGTGTTCAGTTAGCGTAACGTTCAGTGAGAGACCCTGTCGCCAAGGAATACTGCAGAGAGTGATAGAACATGGCACACGGTAGCCCCCTCCGACCTCCTCAAGCATGCACAAAGACATGCACACAAGTGCATATTGTGAGCCTATATCATCCGTCGCCACCCGCCCCCCCCCCAGAGAGAGAGAGAGAGAGAGAGAGAGAGAGAGAGAGAGAGAGAGATAGTACCTGGTATCCCCTAGTGGTTATTCCAGTGATGGGCAATGTGGTTAACAATTACTATAGGCCATGGGGGTGGAAGGATGGGGACATGGTACTGAGAGCTTTAAGCCTGTGAGTGTATGGATGAGTTTCTGTATTTGAAATGTTAAGTAAGATAGACAATACATCCAAATACATACCTAAGACCTATTACTATGATGAAGGAAATCTCAGAAATCACCCAATAGTGATGAGAAAAACTATTACTAAAAGTACTACCTATATACTTCATATATACTTACAAAATAAACTACAGGACTACCTCTATATTAAAAGGAAACCTAGGAAAACATAAAAGCCACAAACAAAATTAAAAGAAAAATGGAACATGAAGGAATATCTGTGAAACAGAGGAAAAAAATCTCTTTCATCACAAGAATTCAATGGTAGAGAGAACTGTTAAGGTCCCACTAGAGCAGTGGTTCTCAACCTGTGGGGGTTGCACATCAGATATTTACAACTCATAACAGTACCAGAATTATAATTATGAAGTATCAACAAAGTAATTTTATGGTTGGAGTCACCACAAATGAGGAACTGTATTAAAGGATTGCGCATTAGGAAGGTTGAGAACCACTGCTCTAGGGAAACAGGATATAAAAATGAAAAGAGGTAAGAGACTCACAGGTAGCTAACTTGTGCATAAGTACGTTCATTTTTGGCTCAGCAATAGTCAATTAAATGAAAATTAAATTATAGGATAATATCACTCACTTTACAATTTTAGCAAGCATGTTTAGGAAAAAGAAAAAGGAATAATATTCGCAATCCTTATTTGCTGGGAGACACACTCTGGGAAATCCCTCACAAGTTAAATTGGTGACACATGAAACTCAGGAGAATTAGAAGTCTATTGCTCTTATAGCTCATAATTTCACATCCAGGAAATTACCTAACTAGTTAAGGTATATTTTCTCATTCTTGTGTAATTCTTGTGAAATGATCGAAACAACATAATGATTCAAGTGGGAAACTTAAATAAATTATAACAGACATAAATATGCTAGGAACTAGATGGAGGATGGTGATGCATGGATTGGATCTGTAATTACAGCACTTGAAAGCCTGAAGCAGAAGATCTTGAGTTTGAGGCCAGGCTGATCAGAGTGAGCTCCAGGCCTGCCTAGACCTACCTAAAACAAATAAACAAACAAAGGCAACCATTAAAACTGAGGGTCTTAAAGACTTAAAACAATTCTTACATTATGCCAGGTAGGAAAAGCCATACACAAACTACATAGAACATAATACTTTTGCTGAATGAAAAGGAGGACCCATCCCCTCAACAGTTACAAAGCCCCCAAACAAAACAGAAAATAAAGTCCAAACATATGTATGAAGGTCACAAGTACTATTAGTTTTTTTTTAAAAAAACTTTCTGTACTCTACTTTTCAAGGTTGTTTGTTTGTTTGTTTTGTTTTGTTTTACAATAGGCACACATTGCTTTCATAAAACGAAGACATAAAGTATGTTTGAAGATCTTGAATAAGGGTGAGGAAAGGCAGGAGTTGGGTAGGGACTAGAGTCCAAATGAGTTACAGAAATTTTGACTGGATAAGAAGGGATTGGCTCAGGAGAGCGGGTGGACGGCCCTGTAGCATTTAAAACCAGATTTAACATGATTCTGATTGAAGATGAGGTGCCTAGTCAGGATGACGAAAGAGAAGGATCTAGTATTACACATGGGGTTGTTGCTTGGACACCACTAAGATATAAATATGGGAGCAGAAACAAAAATTTTGCAGGATTATGAGTTATTCTGGATATGCTTAAGATAAAAAACCTTTTACCTTACGGGAGTCCACAATTCTCCTTCACAGCCTTGAAGCCGAGGGACAGGGGTGTTTCTCACACACTCAAACACTCATACACACACACACACACACACACACACACACACACACAATGAGATTAAAAGAGATGAGATATTTCTTCCTTAATTTTTTTCCTTAAAAAAAAAGAAAGGAAACAGCCTATCCCAGTAAAAGATAAGGAACCAGGCAGGAAGGAGAAAGCCTTTAAAGACACATAAGAGTGACAGCTGTGACTTATAAAACAAAAGTCAGCCTTGGAGAGGAAAAGAGCCTGTTCCCCCTGAGTCAGAAACTGAGAATGTAATTGGTAACTGAAAATGCAGGAGAGGGAGTATCAGAAAGTAAATTCGTCCAATTCCTTCTTCTTTATAATGTGAAAGGCAGGTCATACTATGGGATGCGTGGATGCTAATGCGGGCAGGGGAGCCTAGGCAGAATGGCAAAAGGTCAGAAAAGGGAAAGAGTTCCAGTTCTGAGTCGGGAAGGACCCAGATGAACTCAGTATAATTCAGCTATCTTGGTATCATTCTCCTTGGTTTGAGGCTTTTGCTCTGTTTTGTCTTTTGAGATGAGCCCTAGATATGCTGCCTAGGTTTAGCTCAAACTCTTGAACTCAAGTGCCCCTTCAGTCTTTGCCTGTGGAGAAGCAGGACATCAGGTATGTGGCACTCTGACTTCTTTTGCTTTTCTGTGCCAATGCTTGACCAGCTAGGATTAGAGCAAGTGTGAGGATACACCTTCCAGGAATGGAGGAGTCTAGATGGGTATGATAGATGGAAGAACCACTAAGCAACGCATGTGCTCCGATAACTGAGAGTGGGGATTTCCCTGAAGCCATTCACCATCTCCCCGACATAGAAGGAAAAGCTTTGAAGGGTCCCAGAACGGTACAGAATAGGATGGAGTCAAAGGACCAGACCTCAGAGAGATCCATAACTCAAAAAACAGGCTTAAAGGAGGAAGAGTGATAAACATATTTCTCTTTGTTCCCTCATCTGCCATCTCAGTTCTGAAAGCTTATTACAAATAGAGACTTATCTTATCCATCTTTATAATACCATGCCTTGCCCCACAAGATATACTTGATACATGATGGTCTGATTGGATAAAGGGAACTCAGGGTTGGGACACTGTAACTGCCAATCAAATCAAGCTTATCACTCATTTTTTATGACACAGGAGACAAAGTTTCATAAATGTATTTTTTAAAATAAAAAATGGTTAGAAAAAATAAAGAATAAGAATAGTATCAGCTATTTATAGTTTTTGGAATCTGAACACAAGACCATTTTGTCTTTGGTTGGCATTTTAGGGGTCATGACAGCCTATTTTCTAGCCAGGTGTTTACCTCCCAGCTCTTGGTGGTCGGCTCACTGAAGAAATTGTCGATCATGTTCAGTTCTTCTTTCTCTACCACCACAAAGCCTTGCTCCTTGGCATCTTTCCCATAGACATCGGGAGACCATTGAACAAAGAAGGTGTACAAGTGATCCACCCTGGAAAACATGTTCGTGATACATGTTAACACCAAGTCCACGTTCTTGGCAGGCATCAAGAGCGCCTTGAGTACCTGCAACAGCCTTTTTCCTGCTTGGCCAATTGTTTCACTAACTAGGAAATTCCCCAACGTCAAGGCTATCTTTGTGAGTGGCTTCCAAAATCAGAAAACAAGAACCCACAAACAAAGCAAAAGCCCGCAGGCACTAACCACTGTTGAAACTGTCTCAATCTGAAAGAAAGATCAAGAGACGGGACAGAAAATGGAAAACCCCAATGCAATGTTCCACCACATGTTTCTTCTTCCCCAACTTTCACTTACGGGCTACACACTCAACGACAGAAAACAAAAAATCTGTTGACCCGAGGCTTTAGCTGGGAACAGAGACAAACTATAGTTCAAGGGGCCTTTCCTTAGTGCAAGGTATATTATATACAATTTTTATAAACCGCTTCTGACAACCAGAACAAGCAGTTATCAGGAACAATGCTGGAAGGAGACCTATCATTTGTGGCACATGTCTCTTGCTTCCTCTTTCTATTTAGGACAGAAATTTCTGATGCTTTTCTCTGGCTATGATCAACAAAGAAATGTCTAGTTGCTTAGCAGAGGATGGGGGGGCACTGCCAATGCCATAACCTGCAGTATCCACCCTGTATGGACCAGTCACAAACACTAAGTTCTTTATTGATATTCACGATAGCAGGGCATGGGGCAACAGGGAGGATGACCACATGGTTCTTAAAATCTCTTATAATTATAAAACAATTCCAGTTTGAAGCGACTGGAAGAATGTCAATTAATCATTACTTCTTAAAGAAGCTTTGATTGTATCAAAATACTTTCACAAGATGGTAAGAGAAAAACAAATAAAATCCCCACCTTTGTTCTGACCAAACTGCTTTAGACTCCCACCTCCTTATCTGCTCTTGCCCACATGTTTACTTGGGTAACATAAAGTTTCATTTGTAATGGGAGCCAAGACATAACTGTGTTATATGTAACATTACATAATAACATGTTTACCACATTACTACTCTTTGTATACATCTTTAATGACTACACTGAATAAAAATTAATGAGTCATATCTAACCTGCATCTCTACATTGTCAGGATGTTAGCTTAGTGATTTCTTTCATTATATAAGTAACGCTGTGAGGAAAATCACACAGTCTATATCTTGTACTATCTTTCAAGTTATTTTCTCAAGATTAGAGCCCAGGAAGGGATGACTAAGCCCAAGGGCATGCTTTTACAGCTCCAGATGGATCCTGCCAAACTGATTTCGAAAGGCCGACACTGACATTTTGGTTTCTAAGTTTCCCACCACTTTATCCTTTTTAAAAAATGAGTTTATGTGGGCTACATAGATGGCTCAGTGGGTAAGGAGCCTGTCACCAAACCTGATAAACTGAGTCCAATCCCCAGGACCCATATAATAGAAGAAGGGAGTCATTCTTCCTCAGGGTCCCTGCACACTGACCCCCACCTGTTCCCAAGGCGTATGTGCCTCCTGCTAATACACAGCATTAATAAATAACTTAAATTTTAAATGAGATCGAAATATTTCATCCTATTCAGTGGGCATTTCTTTGAGGTTGAACATGTTTAAGTGTTTTCTTTCTGATGGGAGTCATTCTTTTCATGGGTTGGTTATTTGTGATATGAATTTTTTTCTTTTCAGACTTTGGCAGCCTTTATGTCAGTGGTTCTCAACCTTCCTAATGCTATGGCCCTTTAATACAGTTCCTCATGTTGTGGTGACCCCCAACCATAAAATTATTTTCGTTGCTACTTCATAACTAATTTTGCTACTGTTATAAACCACAATGTAAATATCTATGTTTGCTAGGGTCCTGTTAAAGGGTCATTCGACCCCCCAAGTTAAGAACTACTGCTTTATGTAATATAAATACCAACCACCATCAACTGTGTTTATAAGCTGCTATGTCCCTTCTCATAGCAACTGTGTCTTTCTCCTAAAACCAATATTGCCAGTGTATATGTATGTATGCACACATACATATAAAACACATTTAAATTTATTTATTCTTATTTATGTGTATGGGTATTTTGCCTGTACATTTATATATCTATGTAGCAGATGTGTGTACAGACCATGGAAGCCAGAAAAGAGTGTTGGATCCTCTGATACTGTTGTTACAGACAGTTGTTAGTGGTCATGTAGAAGCTGACAACTAAACCTGGGTTTCCTTCAAGAGCATCCAAGTGCTCTTAATTACTGAGCCATCTCTCCAGCCCCAGTTTTTATATAGTTTAAAAATATATTTCTTTCAGAATTCTCCTTCAAAAATACAATGTTGTCACAAGACAAGGCTATGAAGTATATATATCTGTGCCTGGGTATTCTGCAATGTTAATACTGCAATTAAAAATAAATATGGATATTGATATATTCTCATGTTCAAGGGTGCAGTGGTTATGCTGTTGTTTGACTTGGTCACAACATTCAGGTTTGGGTCAAACACTATCCTCTATTTGTTGTGATTTTCTAAAAGATACGGTTATTGTTTAAATCACTCAACTTTACAAAAAAACGATCACTCTAGAATGTGAATGGGCCTTGCCTAATCAGTTGAGGTTTTTAAGAAGGCAAGGGTGAGGTCCCCAAGGAAGAAGGAATTCTACTACTAGATTGCCTTAGACTTGTTTGTATATCAACTCTTCCCTGGGTCTATAGACTTCTGGCCTGCCCCCAATTTTCAGTCTTGCCAGTCAGAGTTAAACCTAAGCCAATCTTTTAAGAAAAAAATTGCTGGGCAGTGGTGGCACATGCCTTTAATCCCAGCACTCTGGAGGCAGAGACAGACAGATCTCTGTGAGTTAGGGGCCAGCCTGGTCTACAGAGTGGGTTCACAGAGAAGCCCTGTCTTGAAAGAACAAAAAATCCATGCATACATGATATAAATTCCATTTATTTTGTTCCTTTTAAAGATATACAAAAGAGTTCTTTGAAAAACTACAAAGTCACTGCTAGAAATACTTACTGCCAAGGAAGTGAATGGGTAGGACAAAGATACTGCCTATCATATATTTTTATCTTAATTTTGGGATAGGTGATGAATTTTTTTGGTATTTAAATATAAAAATATATACTTAAACCTTGCTATGGTGGCACTGTTCTTAATCCCAGGCTTGAGAAGAAGAGGCAGGTGGCTCTCTGTGAGCTTTAGGCCAGCCTGTTCTACATAGAAAGTATCAAACCAGTCAGAGTAACATGGTAAGAACTGGTCTAAAAATAAAAATAAATAAACAAACAAAAAGAGCCACTTAAAATGATAAGAAATTTCCCAATCATTTGTTTTATTTAACCATTCTGATAAGTGTAAGATGAAATCTCTAAGTATTTTTAATTTGCATTTCCCTGATTACTAAAGTTGTTGAACTCTTTGAGACAGGGTTTCTTTGCATAGTCCCGACTATCCTGGAAATCACCTTGAATCCACCTGCCTTTGCCTCTTGAGTGCTGAAATTAAAGCTAGTGCCACCATACCAAGCTTTAAGTATCTATTAAAAGTGTGTGCCGCCACCACCTGAATATTTTTTTTGTAAAAGTACTTTTTTGTTTTTTGTTTTTGTTTTTTGTTTTTTAAAAATTTATTTATTTATTAAAGATTTCTGCCTCCTCCCCGCCACNAGAGCAATCAGGGTTCCCTGACCTGTGGGAAGTCCAAGGACCACCCACCTCCATCCAGGTCTAGTAAGGTGAGCATCCAAACTGCCTAGGCTCCCCCAAAGCCAGTACGTGCAGTAGGATCAAAAACCCATTGCCATTGTTCTTGAGTTCTCAGCAGTCCTCATTGTCCGCTATGTTCAGCAAGTCCGGTTTTATCCCATGCTTTTTTAAGTGTTTCTCAGTCATTTAAGATTCTTCTTTTGAGAATTGTTTAGATCTATTCTCTAAATTGGGTTGTTTTCATGAAACCTAGTGCTTTGAGTTCTTTACATATTTTGAAGATTACTCCTCAATCGAATGTGTAAAAACAAAACACCCTTTTTCCATGCTGTTGGCTGGCACATTGCCCAACTGACAGTCTCTTTGATGTACAGAAGAAGCCTTTCAGTTTCATGAGGTCCTATTTATTAATTCTTGATTAGTGCCTTGAGTAACAGTGTTTTGTTCAGAAAGTCTTTTCCTTTGTCAATAAGTCCAAGGCTATTCCCCACTGTCTTTTCTATCAGTTTTAGTGCATCTGGCTTTATGTTGAGGTCTTCAATCCATTTGTAGCTGTTTTGTGTGGGGTTATAGATAAGGCCCTCTTTGCATTTTTCTCTATGCAGCCATCCAATCTGACCAGCAGCATTTACTGAAGGTGCAGTCTTCTACTTTCTCAAAATCAAGTATCCATATGCATGTGGATTTATGTCTGGGTCTTCATTTTGATTCTGTTATCCTCTTCAATTTCTTTCTCCAATGCCAGAAAGTTTGATAATACAGGCCTTTCCCTTGTTTAGTTAGAGTTACCCCAATACATTTATTTTGTTTGAAGCTATTGTGAAGGGTGTTGTTTTCCAGATTTCTTTCTCAGTCTTTTAGTTGTCTGATTACAGGAAGTCCCAGTAGTTGATCTTTGTGAGTTAATTCTGTAACTAGCTACTTTTCTGAAACTGTTTGTGAGCTCTAAAAGTTTGCTGGTGGAAACTTTAGGTTCACTTATGTATACTATCATATCCTCTACAAATAAAGATATGATGACTTTTTCCCTTCCATCCTCTTCGTGTCTTCATTGTCTTACTGATCTAGCTAAGACTGCAAGTTCTATATTGAATAGATATGGAGACAGTGAACAACCTTTTCTTGTTCCTGATTTTAGTGGAAATGTTTTGATATTGGCTATAAGCTTGCTTTTATTATGCTGAGATATGTCCCTCAATCCCTAATCTCTTCAGGACATTTTTTTTTTTTTCATGAGAGGGTGTTGGGTTTTATCAAAGGCTTTTTCTGCATCTAATGAGATGATCATGTGTTTTTTGAC